GGCTGTTGATGAAATTTTTCAAAATTTTTGGTGTCAAGAGGGACAAGACGTTCTTGTGGACCGAGACAACATCCAGATCTCCATCGATGAACAGCCAGTTTTGAACAAAAGTGCGTCAACTTTGTCCTTTTTATTCCAAATTGACAAATAGAATTTTTTTGGTTGGAGATTTTACCCCACATCTAGTCATTGAACAGGATCCTTTTTTACACTCCTTGTGACTACTGCTCACCACTCTTGGAATTAGGGGATTGGGCTGGGGAACTGCTTGTAACCTTCTACCTTAAAGATGAACCCTGTGTGTCATCTGCTGGTGTGCCTGCACCTGAAGTGTGCGACCCACATTCCAATTCCTACTCTACTGGTGGTTTGAACCACAGAAGTGACTACTATCATTTGGTTATTGACTTCCACTGTGTGGCTCTCAACCTCTATCGCACCGGAGTACCGTGTTGCAAAACTGAAGGTCACAGAGAAAGTCTGGGTTTTAAAGCCCAGCTATCTACATACACAAAGAATACTGGAGATGTGCAATCTTGAAGTGAGATCCCCCCTCAGCCCAAAAAATAATTATTAAAAAAAATGGATTAAATCTGATAGTCACCTGAATCTACAGCTGTTTTATCCTAAATGAAACTGGACTTCACCCAAGCACCTTCTTTGCATTCCAAATCTTTTTATGGTGCTATACCTGGGATGGTCAGCATTTATTTTGGATAGCTGCATTCTCTGAAGCAAATACACTGTTGAGTATCAGAAGCCAAGCAGTAACATTTACAGAATACATGGTAAAAAATAAGAAATATCTCATATCACCTTCAGCGATGTTAATGAGGTTAATGAACTCAGTTCACACTTACCTTCACTCTGCTAAAGGTATCAGTGGTGACATTATTACTGGCTAGTATTACTAATGGTATTTACCTTCACACATGCTTGCATTTGATAGCATAAACAACCTCCTTATGCAGTCCAGAGGACTAGTTATGGTAAGAAATAAATTTTGGCATTCAATTTCTACTCTGCCTATGTATACTCTGTGTAAATAAGCTATACAATTGTTCTAGATTGATTGGCTGCTAAAATTTCCCCCTCATTTGTCTTCAAGAGCGGGGATTAGAGGCATATAGAGGTTACAGCTAAATTCGAGTGGCAGTAAGCACTTGAAAGAAAATAGCTTATTTTTCAGAAAAATATTGTCATGAGATGAAACACAATAGAAAAAGATAAAGAGGACTCCATCTCCTACAATGATGCAAGTAACATACAACCTACTTAGTCACCCAGAAATGATATGAGTGCTTGTTCACGTTTGTTTGTAGTTTTATTTTACACTTTGCTTTTTCAGGAATTTCCCGTAATTCTTAATATAATCTAATTGCATGTCTTAAATCTCACATATGGAGCATCTACAGAATGAAATTAGGGCAAGGAAGTGACTTGCATCTTTGGGTAGCCTCAGTATAAGACCAAAATAGACTATGACTTGATGCTACTGTGGTATCAGCTATCAGTGTGATCAAAAAGCCCAGCACAGGCAGCTTTTACCAGCCCTTGGTGCTTATCAGCCAGTGGCCCAGAGGTCACACAGACCACATGGCTCACAATGATTCTCCAACTGGGCAACACTGGGGGATTCACGTTTTCACCCAGTGTCCACATACCCCACTGGAACTACATCCATTAGAGCAGCTACCAGTTTTTCATCATTCCTGCCCTCAGCGACTGCCACTAGAGCATCATAGATACCATCACCAGTTACACCAGCAGAGTCCTTCAGAGCTGAGGCTCTTCAGAGTGCAGGATGAAGGCACACACACCCCCTACAGGTGCACCTAAGGAGTCACATGCCTGGTAATCATGCAGGCCAGGAGATAACGCAGAACAATGATAACATGCATGGATAACTGAAGTGTGCCCATTTGCTTGAGGCAGAACATAGATTCCATCACCTCCATGCACACTGGCAACCCCTGAAGGACAGTACTGATGTTAACATGCTCAGCACTCCTCAGGCTGTAACTAACTTTGACCCAATTCCAAAGGGGACGGCTGGCTTTTCAGTCACCTACCTGTCACTTTGTGTAGTAGATGCTGAGCAAGAGATTACTGCTTGAAGGTCCTGCTGTTGACTGCAGGACTTCTTTACATGTGTGTAGTTTTGGAGTTGCTAATCCCCACTATCACCATCTACCCATGTAAGTATCTATATGCACACCCGTATGCATATGCACGCACACACGAGAAGCATTCCCGACCCTTGGGAACTCTTATCCTCTCAGCCACACTACAGATTTAACTGTACACAACCAACATTTCTGTTCCAGATAAACACATACCACAGAGTGAAGTCATATGCAGTGGTTGGGCATCTGCTGCAAAAATACCAACCCAAAATTAGTGTAGATGTAACCAAAGTAAAACACTACTTCTTCCAACGCTTTGTTTCTAAAAGCAGATTTCAACACCTGTAATTTTTTTGATGTTGTTACTACCGCCCCACCTTTGGATTGTATAGCTACAGTTTCCATTTTAAATCTTTACTGAAAATCATTTTGCTCTCTCCCATGGCAATGAAACAAAGTGGGTCTGAACAGACGAGTTACAACTCTCACCCTTAGACTGATGTACCAAACCAGCAGTGTCTGCACAGGCTTTCAGTAATGGTACATGGGTGTGCATGCACATGCCTTCTATTTTAACATTTTAAAGATTATGCTAAAATATTTTACATCCTCAGAAGTGTGCTTGCCACACCTGTGAGAGAGAAACAGTAATGGTCACGGGGCCACAGGATAACCACTTAAGTAAGAGTACTTTTGTAAAAGTCTAGGGGATTTTTTTTTTTCTCCAATCAGAGTTTAAACTGAAGTCATGTCTGTTCTACACAAAAGTTAAAGCTTTCATTTTTTTGTAACAGCAAAGATTTGGGTGCTTCATTAAAATTTTGAATCCTACCCTGTGTACAAGTGTACACTGCAGCGAGTATGGGCATATAGCTTCAAGTTTCCCTAACTACCACAAAAAGGAAGCAACAATTAGTATATTAACAACTGCTTTTTGAATAGAATATAAAAATTACCTATGCCAGCTTCTCAAATTCACAGAAAGCAAGTATATAAATAACCATACATACACATTCCAGTTGGATGGAGGCCACCACACTAAGAGTATGCGGCTCAGATGTGAAAAGGAAGTCGTCTACAAGAGATACCTACTGACAGATTGTAGCAATGCATTAGGGGAAAACCACAAGTTTTTCCTAGACTTCACTTTAGTACTAAACCAAAAGCTAAAAAAATAATAAAAAAACAACCAAAAACATTCTCAAGAAAATAAAAATGCACACACACTTGTTCCTAAAATAGACTGCATTCATCAAATAAAAGAGCAATCCTTCTGTCATTAAAGTGTCAGTCAAAATGAAGAACAAAATAATTGCTTCAATGTTCTACTTTAAACCTCCATTCCTAAAACACTATATATTGGTAAATTACAGGCAAAAATACATAGCAACATACCTATTCAAGATCAACTCCTTATTTGAAAATGTTAATTTTGCTCATTTCTGTAATGGCTATGTAATTTTCTTTATGTGAATCCAGATCAGAAGAAACTTTAAATCAAGCCCGAAGTGACCATTAAGATGGAGAGACCGAAAGTAGCTCTTACTAGGCTATACAGGCAATTATACGAAGAGTGGAATAAAGAATATCACCTTTCAGGTGACAGCAATGGCCTAAGCAGCTACTTTCATCATTAAGCTTCCAATTCATACACTCTTTAAAAGAAAGTAATTTTATGTCACTTTCCTCACCCCTTCCTGCACACCAAGAAGCTTTACCTACACCTCAAAGAAGATATCCCATAAAGGACAGACAATAGCATGTGACAACCAAAAGCACTTTAACCATAAGAACACTAACAGAGTAAGTTTGAGAATATTAAATAGGCAAGAGATAAAAATGCAAACAAGTAATTTATGTAAAAATTAATGAGAGTAATTTCTGCTGGTTTAGATCTCTTATATGACCTTAAGGCACTTACATTTATTAATAAAGCTTTGCAATTACCTCCTGTAATTCTGTACTCATGCCCTGCACTGATTTACAGATATGGCAATCCTGAAAGAGATTAGCTCTGGTAAAGATCCAAAGTATTAAAAAAAAAGTCTTCCCAACTCTCACTTGTCTCTGCCTCCAAGTAAGCTAGTCAGACAGGCTGGCTGCTCTGAAAGAAAAATCAGACAAGTGAGCTGAGTCAATCAGAAAGTTATTGGCTGTTTTGTTGTCGTCACTGCTGCTGTTGTTGTGTTTATTTTAAAGAAAAAAATAAAGTATACATCTACTGCTTTCCTATTGGCCAAAATACACAATACAGCTACAGTTTTAGTCTAAACATAAATTATGTCAGAGTAGCAAAAAAAAAAAAACCCGACCAACCATGCTTTCCTAATTCTGTTTCTTTGTGATCACATAGGTTCCCTGAGACAATTTCAGCAGAATAAACATTAGGAAAGCAAGTGACTTTTTCTGCATTCTCTAATAAAGCAGAAGGAATAGGAAAGGGAAGCAACCAAATCTCCATAAAACATCAGTAGTCTGTAAGTAATGGACTGCTTTATTTACAATGGAACATCCAGTTATTTATAATGTGGTTATTTAGAATGTACTATAATCACTGATTTTAGAAAATTATTCTATCCAAATGCAGCTACATCATGCTTATTGGTTTTGCCTAGCAATTAATTTAACCCCAAATCTGGGGTCAGAACCTTTTACTAGCTGTAATAAAGCAGTACCTTTTAACAAAACAACCCAAACAAAAAACCCAAAAGAAAACACACCTTAGTTTTATTTTTCATATTTACATATACAGAAGTTTTTGCATTAAAAAACTTGAAAACCAAACCATCTGTACATATAATACAGCAATTAAAGTTTCCATGAATAAAATCTTAAATTTGCAAATTGATTTGAAAATAATTAAATAAAGCAGCATTAAAATCCAACAAATGGGGAGGAGGATGAAGAGGAAAATAGCGACCACATAACGTTTGCATTCTGCCCTTCCTATGTATCTTTTATGCTAGTTGAACATTTGTTCTCAGTGTAACCTCAAAAACCCCCAAATTCTGAGTTTATTTCACTTGCCTGCAATAATTCCAGTAGGGCCTGCACTGGTGAGCTACAGTAACTTCTCTTCAGGAACAGACAGTCCATCTGTATACTTTACGCATAACTCCATATTCTGTTTCTGGGTTTCCCTCTTATTTTTTCCCAAGTAAAGCTTCACTTTTCTGTGCAGCTTTCCAGATGGTGAACTATGTGCACTGCTGGCAGCCGATTCATTAAGTTCTTTGTTTATAGCAGTATCAGATACCTCAGCCTCCAGAGCTACATTGTGCTGCATCTGTTGATGATTATCACATAAATCACGATGTTTCTTGACAAACGTAGGATTGGCATCTGTTTTTTTCAAACACTTTGCTGGTAGAACTACTGCATTATTTAATTTTCGTTTTGGCTGTAACAGGTTTTTGTCTTTTTCACTAAAATCTGTAACTCGAATATGAGAATATAAAGTACACACATCTTCCTGAAAAAACTGTAAATTCTTGTTATTTACTTCTGGTTCCAGTATTTCTTTACTGAATGGCTCATAAGCTTGAGACAAGTTCTCAGTGTATGCTTTGTCATCTTTCTGAGGAGGTGATTCTATGAAAATTGATGATACAATAGTCTCTCTTAAGTTTGCAGCACAGGAGCAATCAGTTTTAATATTTTCATCATTATTTATGAACTTACTTTTCAGTTCTGAAGGTTGTGACAGGTGACAATAAAGAACTGAACAGAGAGATCCAGAAACAGGGGTAGGTATTGGCATAGAATTTGGTTGTACTTCTGCAGGCTGGCGATCCAGTTTGAGCGCCCGCATTGCGGTATCCTTCCATGAGTAGCTTTTCAATGAAATGCGTTGCTTTTTCAGTCGTTCTTTCAGCTCATCTGGTCTAGTTATCTTTCCAATAATAGGAGAAAAATATCCTGTACTACATTTTGTCCTACAATGAAATTGTTTAAAAGAATTAACAAACACTTGAAAGAGACATGAGTAACATAACTCCATATGCAACTGATTCTAGAAAAGCAACCAAACTGACAAAGAAATTTTTGTTTTTACATTTAAAAGATGTATTTAGGGAAGCAACACACTATTCCTACAGGAACACAGGAGTGCCTTGTAGTTGAATTTGATGTTTTCTTGATTTCTACAGCTCATAAAATTGTTTTAAAAATACATGAAGTAAGCAGTCTAGTATTTCAGTAAATCTCAATTCACAGTGGTATTAAGAACAAAAGAAGTTAATGAATATAATGCAATGACTATAATTACAAATATTCTACAATATATACACACAAAATTAGCATATAGATGCTTTTCTTGACATAGTGTTTCAAACCTAACCACTCTTAGTATTTTTAAATCACAAAAGTAATAGAGGCTTGCCTTCATTAGGCTATCAGTTGTTTGACTCTATTTGCATTTCCTTTGATTTCACTAAGTGTATCTTTATTTCTTCAGTATTTTTTTTAATAAAAAATGAGTTATTCCTGACTCATTTGCAAACAAACCAGAGCAATTTTGAATTGAGCTACTGTTCAAAGTAATGAAGACACTGGCTTCATGTCTTGGACTGCAGGCAGAAGTCCTTCTCTCCCATTTAAGATTTGGAGCCACGAAGAAGAAAGGAAAATCTGCTTTCTTTGTCCAGCAAAGGCAGGACAGAAGCTAGGAGGCTTAGAGTATAGATAGGAAGATCTAGATTAGGCTAGGAAAAGTTTTTCAACATCTAAGGAGATCAGACTGACCAAGTGTGTTGGTTTTGCGTGGCAAGGTT